TGCCTTCTAAGTCTGTCCAGTCATTTGTGTATCATTTGTTAAACATTTCGAATTGGGCTGAGAATCATCACATTTGCTTTCAGCTCAGTATGTGCACAACCCCCAGTGAACATTTGGAAAAGCTAATTCCGAGACACCGGAGTGGTGATTACTTGCAAACCCCATCCTGAGCCTACGCAGTGTGTTAGCTCCTCTTGCTGCTTTAAGCACACCCCAGGTACTCTGTATATTCTCCTTCTGGGATTGTGATCGTTCTCATAAGTGCAATTGATTTTTCTGAGACTTCACAGAACTTTAAAACTGAGCAGTCCCAACTTCTGAGCAGTTCTCATTGTTTATTCATAGCACTCTGCTGTACTGTGTCCTGCAGGCATTTATTGATAAATACTAGTTTAAATTGGAAACCCTGCCTAGAACTCTCTTTCACACACAGCAATGAGAAACTAGTTTATAGTGACAATACCCAGGAATGATAAACAATGCTTAGCACCTGTTCAAGTGAGAACTGTGTCATCAGTGGGAATAGCAGGGGCTTAGTGTCTTTTTGGACTGACTTTGGAAGGTAATCTGTTTGAAATTATAGCACTTGATACTGGTGGGCGTGGGGATGATCTCACTCCAAATACAAGCTGCATGTCACGTGCAGGTATCTGTATGAGAAAGTTTCTTTTAGACTAAAACTGGACATCTTCAGATTTATCTATTTCAGTAAGGTCTGTCTTTGTGGCTACCTGAAAAGCACTGTGTTGTCTTTCTACTCAGGCAGTTACTCTCTGCAGACTGAAACACTAAATCTTGGTGATATAATAGGCCTGGCTGCTTGTTTTTTTGTTGTTGTTGCTTTTTGTTTGTTTTTTTGTAAAATACTAGCCAGGAGAAACAGTGTCTGCTTATCTCATAATTTGTATTGATTTTAGTATATTGGAATTCACATATGTATCTGATGTGCTTTATGAGGTTGGTCTCAGAAAGGATGAGCAATATTTTCGTGCTGTAATTTGGTCTAAATGTATATGGCATCTTCATGTTGGGACAAGAGGTTTTGATAATCACTGGCAGTTGAAGCAGGAAGTGTGTTTGAAGCAGCTTATGAAAAGTCTGACTCTCAAACGGTCATCTAACCTTCTCTGAGCAAACTGGACAAATCGTGTATGCTGGATGGCGTTTTGGAGGTGATTTATTGGCCTGGAATCTTAGCAACTGCTTTTGTGCTCTTGCTCACTGGAAAGATGCCTGGGTATATTCAACAGCAGTTGGTGATCCCTACCGGCTTTGTTGCACTACCATTTGCTGGCACTGGTATAGTTAACTACTACGTTGCCGTGCTTCTTTTCCAATGTGCAACTCAGGATTGGCTTTTGAGTTAAGTGATCAAACCCTAAATGGCAAAACCAAAGCATATTGCATACTTTGTACCATATATTGTTATAGACTCTTCTATGTGAGTGTATTTATATGCAGAGAAGCAGCAGAGGCCCTGAAAACCTTTGTTGTGGATTTGTGTAAGCATTCAATATAAAGAAATTAATTATCTGTACTGAGGCTTCCCTCTTACCCCCTCACACCATGCTTCACAAAACACACCAAATGCCTTTATATGGAATGTAGCTGCTGCTTCCTGTAAATGTTTATAAGACGTTATTAAAAACATATGTCCTCTCTTCCCACAGACCTTGTTTAGAAAGCTTGCTGCAAGCATGTTGTTTTAGCTTTGCTTGCAAGAAGCAGCATCTGTTGTACTAAAAATGGTAGTTTTGTACAAATGCTTTTGTTGCTCTCTTTTGTAAAGCCAGATAGAATTGGGATCTGCGTTTGCATTGGCTCACTCCCTTGACAGAGGGCTAGCAGCAGTTGTTTGTGCCAGCCTCTAGAGATTTTCTTTGAGACTGACCTGCAACCCTTAATGTGATTAGCCAGCTCTTTTTAACCCTTGGTGCTTAACTTTCGTGACCAGACAAATGGGACCTATGGTTGTATGTAGGCAGTATAAAGCAGTTACTGCCTAGAGCCCAGTGAGTACGTGCTGATAACGTACCTGCAGGAGCCTGACCTTTCTACTCTGTCCCTCTGAGCAGGGCTTGCTTACAAAGATGAAACCACATTAGGGCAGGTACATGCTTGCTATTCCTGTACTTGCTCAGCTCCTTTTGACATCAGTGTGAGTACGTAGCTTTAAGGGAAGGTAAGCAGTCAGGGTCAGAAAAGAGTATCTAACAGTGTCTACTGTGGAAAAGAGATCTAAGTATTTTTTTTTTGTCATAATACGCAGCTAGCTTCCATAGATATTAGTGCAGTAAATCACTGTACTGCTTAGCATGATCTTTTCTTTTACCTTTCTTTGCTTACTCTTCTGTTTTATATTTTTCTTCTTCTCCCCCTGATATCCCAGAGATGCTGTTTGGATTTCAAAGTGGAGGACAAGCTGTCTTTCAAGCTTTTCTATGGTGCCTTTTAATCAACTGAAGAGGTAGCTGTTGAGTGATGCAGGAGCTGCTGTTTTCCTTATATTTTTTGCTGTGTGCTGACTCTACAGCCACAGGATTGATTGATTTTTTTTTTTTTTTTTTTTTTTTTTTTTAATTTTATTTGGTTGCACTGTTGCACTTTTTCCTGCTGTTTGCCACCAACTCCCATTATAATACAGACATTTTGGTTGTTTTTTTTTTTTCCTCAACCATTTAAGCTTCTTTTTGTGCCCAGTAGCTGTCCTTCATAACAAAGAACAGTGAACTGAAGCATGGGAATGAAGGAGAATAATTTGCAAGGAACCAAGGAAATAAAAGCAACCGCTGTTCTTGTTCTTAAGTCTTCAAAAACAGAATATACAGCAGCCAGTACTTTAGGGACCATATAATGCTGTAGCCTGGTGCTGCGTAGTCATTTTACGTAGGCAAGGTATTTTCCAGTAGAGACAGTGTGAAATTCAGAGAGAATTCTATCCGTGAAGGTAGTCATCCCTATCTTAAGGAGGTAGTGAAAGGCTGGCCCAAAACCTATTCTAATATTTGAGTCCTTTAAAGAAATATAAAAGAAAGCCTATAAATAAAGAACAACAGATGGGGAAGGGCCCAAGTGTCAGTTAGACAGTAAAGCACTTTTGATGAACAGTTTTTATGGGAATAGGAGGTAAATAACCAAGTAGGAGGGATGGAGAAGCAAAGTTAGGAGAGAAGTTTGCTGGAACAGGAACCAGAAAAAAGGAGCAGCGGTCTGAGAAAGTATGCTTGAATTTAAGTAGTGTCTGGAGATGGAGATCTGGAGATCGTCTACTGCTGGGAGCCAAAGAAATTGCTGCAGCAGCCTGGTTTGCTTTACAGACTTGAGGAGATACTGTCTCCTCAATAAGTACTAGAAATTGTGAGTTCAAACCTCACAAGAGGAGAAGACGACAAAGGCTCAAGATGGGAGGAGGGATGTTCCCTTGCTTGGAGAGAGCAGGATGATACACCAGAGCCCTGAAACCGATTTGAATTGGAGCAGCAGTTTTATTAGTGCCCAAATGAAGCATCCTGCCTCCAACGAAGACCCCTCCCTTTCCTAAATAATTCCTTCTTGGTTGGTCTCATCCACTGACCCCAGAGAAAGGCCTCTTACACTCTTAAACATGTATTCCAGCTAGAAGACCTGCCTCTAGCATAGCCTTATGTGCCCTTGCTTTTTCTCTGGGATTCTGCCAATGAAACTCCCTAATCTTCTACAGGCAGATGGCCAGCAGCCAAGTTCAAAATGTGTTTTACTCCGAGTCCATAAACACGTAGCCCTATTAAATATGTGCAGAAGCAAAAATTTACATAGGGTTCTTCAAAGTTTTATGTTTTATTCTTTGAGTAATATGTGATCCAGTGGAATTTGGGAGTGGCATCTATCAGATGCCTGTGAACGCTCAGCATATTTTCTCACGTAGGTTTGGTCTTACAGTTCAGTCCGCATGTCATCTCTCTTGGTGGTCTACAGAGAATTGAATGGTCTGTAGCACAAGACTTTTTCCCTTCTCTTAGTGTTCCTTTAGAAGTACTCGAATGTCTTTGTTCAGGTTCACAGACTAGAATTTAAAAAGACATTTAGGCACTTTAAGATGGAAAGCATGTCACTCGGTGTCAATTCTGCAGACTAAGCAACTCTGAAAATCTGTTTTATAGGACTGGATAGATAGAAGAGATCCATGAGGAATCACTGTCAACCAGGAGATGTAAGTGAGGCATACCTATGGGAGAAGAGAATGAAGTAGCCAAGCAGTATTGAGAGAGAGCAAGAGGGGAATTAGGAAGGGAGAAATGAGCAAGTGACTTGCAAAACACTGGAGAAGGAGAGTGACACCATGGATGGTGGCCTGGGCAGAGTGAGGTTATGAAATAGCTGGAAAACTGCATGCAAAGTACAGCAATAAAAAGTCAGCTCCTATTTCTATCAGAAGTGACTGTAGGAGGGAAATAGCTGGAAAGAGAAGGATTACACCAGCTATAAAAAGTGCTTGGCTTCTGGAAAGAACAAAATCCTTTATTATATCAAAATCAATTAAAATTGTATTGAAGGCTTTTCCATGTAAACATATTGCCAGAGAGTTAATTTGCCAAGGGGCTGATAGGACCACCTCATTGCAAATGACACGAGCGATGGTAGTCTCACAGGACAACCAGTAAAATTTGATACGCACAGCAGAAGTAAACGTTTGAGATCATGAACTGTGTCTTTGCTATAGCAGTATAGCCCTCGAGCAGAATTATTGTGTGACTGTTTAATCTCTCTGTTCCCACTGTGGCAATGTTCATCTCTGCCTCCCAAGGGTGTCCTGCAAATGGCATGCGTTCCTCTTTGTGTCCCGTTCCATCTTTGCACAGTAGGATTATAGAGGTAAAGGTAGAATTGGCTTATCGCTGTAAGTATGCAGATATCACGGGGTTATTAGTGGAGTTAGCATTTAGTGCTCCTGGCACGTAGCTGTTTTGTATGTAATGGGCTGAATTTGGAAGTAATGTGAGCAAAGGGATGCCTTTAATATAACTTTGAGAAGTCAAGCCTGTATTTTGTTTTGAGGTGCTGGTTTAAAAATCCATGTGTTGAAATTGTTTTTACTAGCTATCCTTTCATTATCAAAAAATGCTTGTAGTCCCCGCAGTTGCGGGGGAAAAAAATTACCTCACTGAATAATCTAGGTGTTGCAAGAGGTACCTACTGAGATGAAAACCTATAAATAGGGAATTTTCTTCCTCTCCCGTCACAAGTGTGAATCTTTTATTTATGGTCCCTTTGAGTCTTAATTAACGAAGGGCAGGAGGCAACTGGTTTACCTGTTTAGTGTGGTTGTGAAATCATGAGATACCAACTATGGGCAGCTAATGTAATAAAGTGAAGTTCCCCAATGACTTTGAAAGTGCTCAATGAAATCAAATTGCTTGCAGTTCCTTTATGGAACTTTAAAAAAAAGAATGTTACAAAAACTGTGAGTAAAAATGACCAGTAATTTTTCTGTTTTTTTTTTTTTTTTTTTTTTAACCTACAGATATTGATGACGTCAAGAAGCACAAACCAGGTTACCTTGAGGCTACGGTTGACTGGTTCCGATTATATAAAGTCCCTGATGGTAAACCGGAAAATCAGTTCGCTTTTAATGGAGAATTTAAAGACAAGGTGAAGATAATCCAAAGTCAAAAATGCATTTTTCTGTCATATGGCCTCTTTAATACATCCTAGAATTTTTGGAATTGTAAGGGAGGAGGTTTAACAGGAAGAATGTTTATATAAGGGACCTTTGAATACAGTTTATTAGGCTAGGAATAAATAATGTTTGCTGTCTTCCATTTTATTCAGGGAAAATGCATAGGTTATTAAGGGAAATCTGCATTCAGTCCTAATCCTGATGAGACTTACACATGCATCTGTGTGTTCATAGGTTTTTTTCACAGCATTTTCATTCTCCCTGTCAGAGGAATGAACAGAACAAATTGTCTTTTCAGGTATTTTTTCAGTCCTGATTGATAAATTTTCCTGACTTTTTTTTTAGGGTTATGCAGTTTAAGACAGACGATGGGTTACATATTTTTTCATATTTGGTATTTGCTCAAGGTATACTTTTTCTTGGTAATTCTATGCAGAAACATTTGAACTGGTTTTGACTTGAAGGCTGAAAAAATGAATGACATTTTAAACTATCTACAGTAAAAATGACCAGTGTTTGAAAGGAGTGTGGACCTGGGAATAGACCTTGCTGAGGAAAGTAACCTGGATTTTTCCAGAGGAAATTGAGTGTGATTTGAGTAAAAGTGCTTTGCAAGTCGTGTATCGCACACTTTCTGTAGACTGTTTTTGGCAAAGAATCACGGGTTCCTAATGAATGATGTCCGTGTGTCAGCTAGTTCAGCCTTGCGGTGTGCCATCAAAGTTACAAAATGCCTTCTAACCAGCACAGGCAACTGTACGTGTTTTGTCTGGTTAAAGAGATGCCCTGACTCCCCTCTGCACTAAAACTGTCTTTTAAATCAATCAAATGTAGGGTTGTAAGGCTTGATGACCAGATCTCTTCCCTGTTCTCCCAGGAGCTGCTCTTAGAGATTTTCGTGCTCTGTAAAGCAGAGCGTTGCTCTGTAGCGACAGTTGAACGGTGTATGCCTGTCAGGCTGCTGGAGCTCAGGCTTGAGGCACTAAATGCCGCGGGATAGCTGGTTTGGAGCACTGGAGTAGTTCTCAAGGATTTCTAGAGACCCAGGATGTGGCGAGGTGGCTGTGGCTGTGCTCCAGCAGCTCTGGTGAAGTTCACAATGTTCCAGTGGCATTTTGCCAAGTCACTCCTTGTTAGGAAATGGGAATGTTCTGTTGGGAGCTTTTTGCAAGCCAGTCCAGATATCATCATCTGGACACTGAGGACTTATTTTATTTTTTTGAAGCTTTTTCATCCCCAACCCCAATATTACTTTTGTTTTAAACAAAAACAAACTGTTAAGCAGCTGACATCTGACATGTTATGCTGTTGCAAATGCTTAAGTATACGATTGGGCAATTAATGAAGTAAATACAAATTTTGCCACTAGCGGGGAAACCTTAACTCTGACCCAGATGTGCACGTGTAACAGCGGAGTCGTAGCTCACACACCTTGTCGCATTTAGGACCTGGTACAGTTTTTTACAGCTGTAGGTGTCTGCTTAGCATCTAGTGCTGTTTTTGTTTTTTTCGTGCAGCCTTTGTGTTTTCTGGCTGGACTGATGGAAAGTGCTGAATGTGTTACGAGTGTATTTGACAGGTAGTGAAGTTTGTTTCTTTGCATAAAAAAGGGTGTTATATTTTCCAGAAATTTAATGAGGCCTTGAAGGAGACACATGAAACAGTATGTTTTAATAAACTAGTTCTATGGCTTTTTTCTGTTTAATAACATTTTAATTTATAAAACTTTTCCTTGATGTAAACTAGGATTTTGCTGTTGAAATTATTAAATCCACCCATGAATACTGGAAAGCTTTGCTTCATAAAAAAGCTGATGGAGGTACTATTAAGTGGTAAGTATCCAGTCACGTCTTTTCTTCTTTGTATTGTGCTGGTGGTATTCAACATGTGGCAGCTTTGCATGAACTGCTTAGATTTTATTTTTTTTTTTACTTTGAGATGACAGGAATACTCATGGTTTTGCCTGATAATTAATTGATAATAGACTATGATTGACTAATTGCACATTGTATGTTGATGATTTACTGGTAAGTGGTTCCAAAAATATAATGGTTTCATAAAAGTGACATAGATTACTTCAACTTCCGAGAAATGGCCCCAGAGTGTTTTTCAGCATCATTTTGGGAGAATCTTGGTATCCTGTGCAAATCTTCTTGTCACTATTTATTCCATCTTTCAGTGTTGCATTGCCGTCTTGCAAAATTCTTTTGTGGCTTAGCATTTTGTATTTTTTGGTTGTTCTCTGGAGTGAGAGAACCAGATGATTGTTCATTACTAGCCTTTGGCCTGATCTAAATTAAAATGGACTTTATTAAGCTCTCTGGACTAGTTTCCATTGGCAGTTCTGGCACCAGAGGCCCTGAAGAGCAGGCAGGTATCTTTGGTGCTTTCCAAGTGCTGTAGATTGCCATTAGCTAAACCAGAGGGCAAACGCTATGGGGGAAGCTGTGCTCGGATAGTCACTGTCGTCTTCTACTTTACTGGAAAAATACGATTTTTCTCTGTGTTTCTTGGAGCTGTTTGAACACCTTAGCAGTTGGAGAAGTTGGTAATTCTGCTTTAGCATGGCAAGAAGACTGTAGGATAATATTCAAATTTTTGTCTTGATCATTTCAAGAGGCACTTTGTGAGCTTCATGTTGACAAAATTGAAAAATAAATAAAATTGCAGTCTTGCTTTGAGGAATTGAACTTCTTGCCGTTTACTGTGTAAGACCTTAAAAACTCACGACCAAACTCACTTTTGGTGTGAAAGCATATATATTCATAGGGAAATGTTTCTGCAAAGTATTTGGTCCCAGAGTTTGTCTGCTCTCTGGAAGCAGTACAGGTATCTGCTGCTTTATGTAAGAACAGAATTTTGACCTGTTTTTTCCTTCTTGTTAGATACTGCAGGCCGGTTACTGCGAACCAAGGGTGGCCTGCCACAGAATCTGGCCATCCTTCAAGGCACAAGAGATGGGGATATTCACGCCATCTGTGCTAGCCATCTAGGTGTTCTTCAGCTCCCACCGGAAGGGCCACTGTATCTCTGCTGACTTTTTGGGGGGATTTAGTTTCTTAACTGTGGTACTCTGAACTGTACCCAAGTTAGCTGCCAGAAGCACTGAGTGTGAGCACTGCTTGCATAAATATAGAACATATAGCCTAAAAACCCCCTGAAACCTGAAGAAACAAAGAACACCCCAGCACACCCCCGTTCCCTTCCAGCATTACTACATGTTTTTGACTTCCTCATTTCTTGCAGATACACATTTCTGAGCTGTATAGGTGAGGGTGGTTTTTTCCATAGGTGCTTAATTGTGTGCGTCTCTTTTCCACTGATTGATAAAACAAGTTTTTAATTTTATTTTTCAGCACAAATGTTCTGGTGAGTGGCAGCCCATTTTGTTGCAGTGAGGAGGATGCCCGATCAATTGTGCAGTCGGTAAGGATAATATTTACTTTTTTTCTCCACCCTTTCTTTGAAAGTGATTAGTAGGAAAAGAAGATTCAGAGCTCCAAAACTGAAATAAAGTAGCTAAACTGAAATGGCCCTTCAACAAAAATTTAAGACATAAAGTAAAAGGAGAAGAGCACAAAGGTTGTGGGGGAAATGTAAGCATTATAATATAAACCTTTCATTGCAGTGGTCCAATTGTGCTTTCTGGCAGGTTCATTACTGTTCTGGTGGGGTTTTTTTGTTTTGTTTTGTTTTTCTCCCTCTCCAGTGCTATTTCTTCTGATCCTGAATAGCAAGATGGACTGCTATTTGTATCTAGCCTGCTGTCTTCTCTGTCTCCCCTGTTGCCATGAGTTACCACCCAGTGTTAGAACTCATTGACTAGCTGACTGTAGTCCCTAATCACTAAAGGGATCCTTTGTTTGTCTACTTGCATAATTAAATGCATTGCTGTAAGAGAGGGGGATGCTTTTTTTTGAACGTTTCTTAAAGAATGCCAGTCATATTCTGAAAATTAACATAAAATTAAAACATACAGGTTTCCTGTTCAGAAAAGAAAAAGGTCCTGCAGGTTTGATGCTTTCATGTGCGAATGCTAGTGGAAGAAAGTTTCTTCCATTTTAAAATATGCTAGTTTGGATGTCAGAAATTAAGCAAATTTACCAGAAATTACATGGCGAAAAGTGCCCCCAAGTATTACTTTCTTTGTTTTGTTTTGTTTTTGAAACTTATGCCATTATTGAGCCTGTGCTCATGACCACATGAGCATGGCAGGTGTTTGGCACATGCGGATGGCTGCCTGGGCAGCCATGTTTTGCCCCAGTAATCCCACTAATTACACAAGTTCAGATGTCAAAGGAGATGCCATCCACTGTCTGTACAGTTAACATTCCAACAGCATTTCTAGTAAGAATGTGATGTCCTAGGTGGTGTTTTGTTACAAGCAAATAAGACTGTCAGTTGCAAAGAAAAGTTGGTTTAAGTCATAAAGAAGCATCAAACCTAACTATTTTTCCTATTCAGATCTCTTGCTTTCAGCACTCCTTTAAATGTACGTTTATGGTTGCACTTGTAAATGTTGATTAATGGGACTGTAAGTTTTAAATGAAAGAAAAACTCATTTTGGAGTTCAAATATGTTTTTAGATGCGTCAGTCATAGCTATAAGCAAATATTTACCTCCTCTATACTTTCAAATTTACAGTAACTTTTAGTGAGTGCTTAAATGGAACTAAAATTTCAAGTTCAGACATATTTGGATAGTGACAAACCTGCGAAGGACTATTTCCTTTTACATTCTGTGCTGTTTGTACTTTGAAGCATGAAGGGTAAATATTTGTCTGTTTAAATCAGCAGTATGTGTTATGTTGTCTCTTAAATCAAAATTTTTTCCTGTTTTTGGGGAGGAGGTTAGTAAACCCAGTTTGTAAAATAGGTACCTTTGTATCAAACTTTAATGTTTTTTATTGTGAGCACTTGCCTTCTTAAAAATATTATCACTTCCTGGCTTTTTTGTGCCTCACATTGTTTTCTTTAAATGATACTGTTTTTGTGAAGTTGTCATCACATACTCCTTTCCATCATTCCATTTCAGTTCAGTCTGAGTATTTTAATTCTGTCTTTATAGGGTACTGTCTCTTCGTACTTTTCAGGCAGGGAAAAGAGGCAATATGCTTTTAAATACTGTTCATGCTGCATGCAATTTCCAATGTAAGATACCTAAAAATGTAAAATGCTCTTGAAATATGAATGGTGGACAGTCAAACTCTAAATATAAGCAGGGAGGTTGACTTGCACATTTTAAGGAAGTATCTTTTAGTCTAGTAGACTACACTGCACACTTTGGTTGTCAGGCATTCGGCTCTTTCAAACTGAAGTGAAAGTACGTGAGTGGTGGCTGCAGAATTTTAATGGCTGTGGTAATTTTAAATGAAAGCTGCCTGTGTCTGTCTGTCTGGGTTTTTTGTTTGTTTGTTTGTTTTTAAACTAAAAGGAAATACGTTTTCTTCTAATTTATGTCCATCTATTAACTTCTGGGTAAAAAGAGCAGAATGAAAGCTGAGGTAGAGATTTTGTATGTGTGTACAGTGAGAAACATTTCAGCTACTGCAAAATTTCTGGGCTACTTGTGCAGTGAGAACTGGTTCCTTACAATTCTGTTTCCTCGGTCTGACTCCAATTACAGAATTTTTGAATGGGTGATAATTGCCTTAAATCAGGTATACTGAGTTCTCAAAAAACCAAAACCAAACAAAAAAACCAACAAAAAACAAGAAAAACCTCACCAAAACCCAAAAAAGGCAACACTCAGTATTGTTATGAAACAATTTTTATGGTGAGAGAACTATAAATAAAAAACAAATGGAATACAAACAATTCCTTACCAAATTGTGCACTAATGGGAATTTTGTATTGATTTTGATAGGGTGGTTCCCAGGATAGTCCAGTTGATTTCAGTAGGATTTACTGTGCTATTATTTGACCTTTCATTATTTTACAGTTAATTATTTCATCTCTTTCTTAGCTCCAGTGTTAGTGTATGTTGAAGACTAAACCCAGGAGGAATAGAGCTTTGTAGCTGAATGTGTTAGTGCTAAGATGTACTGTTTATTTCAGACTTTTAAGTGTTGCCATCTGTAAAACTGACCAGGACAGCCAAACCTTTGTTTAACATTAATCCTGAGAACTGGTCGCACACTTGCTCTGTGAAGAAGCTGCTGAGGACTTTGCAACTTGGAAAATCTCCAAGACTGACTATATATAGTTAGTAGAGCAGTATTTCTCAGACTTATCACATAATTTTTCCCTTATGATGCTGGAAAGTGAACTAGGAAAGCCTTGCTAGATACATCTCTTTTGATAAAATGCAGAACAGTCTTACGGGGGAAAATATTTGGCTTTTCCTGATAATCTTAAAAAAATCTTCAACAAAATTTGAATCTGTATATTTACTAATGCGTTTCAAATAATTCAGATCTAAGCAGGAATAACTGCCTTTCTCCCTGCTTGTTTTCTGTGAGGACATTTCCAGTTGGGACTTTGAGGCAGAATTTTCTGTTCAGTGGCCAGTTGTGAACCAAAAGATTGGTGGAGTTTTTAGTCTGGGGTTTGGGTTTTTTAAAAATAATTTTAGTTATTTATTTGTTTTTTAAATGGTGTTCCAGATGAAAGGGTTGTGTAGTGAAGAGACTCCTGGTTCAGTGGGATGAGGTTTTGATACCTTCCTGGTGGGAGGGTGCTGAGTCCTTATCTCAAACTTTCTGAGCAGTTATCCCAGAAGTGGCCGGCACCTACTGATACATGGTGACCACTGGTTCTGCCTGACTCAAGAGCTAAAGCTTTGCTTTTGCTGGAGAGGGGATGGTCTGGTGATAAGGCGTGGAAGACCTGGCATCACATTTGTCATGCTGGCCCCTCCTTTCAGACCAGTCAAATAACCCCTCATGCAGGTAATTATCCTGAGTAAAGCGGGAAAAAGAACACTATTTTTTCCCTTCCCTCCTCACAAGCTTTGACCTGCTCCTCAGTGGACTGAGCCCAGTGCCTGCTCAGACGCAGGCAGGCTCATGAGGGAATTTCACCCCGGTGCAGCTCAGTCCGAGTGCTGCGCTCTGCGAAGCCTGGCTGTGCGGCTTCTGGGTCAGGCTGCCTGCCTGCAGGATACGGCCAAGTTCTCATTAACGCCTTCACATGCCATTAAGTAGCGGCGGGAAGTTCCCCCTGCCGATGTGGAAGACATGGGTGGTCACCATGCAGCTTTGTTCTCCTGAAGCTTCAAACAGCTGTAAACTCTGCCTTTGAGGCTGTTTCTTTTTTGCGTGGTTCACCTAAGTGATTAGTCCTGAGGTTACCCACTTGAGTAAGCGTGGTTGGGGTGGGCTTGTGTCACGGCAAAGGCCGACATCCACCCGGTTTTTGCACTTGATTTGGGCATGCGGGTGAGTGTTGCAGGTTTCCTTGTGATGAGATACTCTCTACTTCTTTCCTGTCAGTTATGTCCGTTGAAAACTTGTCGGAAGGGCAGTGGAGGATTGTTGCTATGCAAGTAACTAGCATCCTCATTGTGAGGCAGGTTGCTTCCGGCTGGTGTAAAAACTGGCTTTAATTTTGTCCTTTAAGTTACAGGACAAGACATCCTGCGTAACACTGCGATTGAATAGTGGTGTATCCAGCTTTGAAATGTCAGATCTACATTTTAAATTTGTCACTTTCCACAGAACTGAATCCTACTGTCAAAATGTAATTGTAAGACAGTATAATTGCACATTGACTGAAAAATACTTGCCTATATGTAATGTAAATTGTGTGCGTGTGTATATATATTCACATGCGTACTTTATACTGAAACTTGTAATGTAATTGGAAAGGCATTTTTACTCTTTAAGATGTAAACAGCAAATCCTGTTATCCTCAAAGACGATACAGTAGGAAAATCCCCTTTACATTAGGTAAGGTGTTAATCTATCACTCATTGTTAGTCTGTTTGTTTTGGCATTTATGAACAACAAAGAAATTTGCACAGTAGTTGCAGAGGGAAGTCTGTAAGGTAGAATATCATCCTGTGGGGGCAACAGAAAGCTCTGTGTTATTAATAATCTCTTGACTTCAGCAGTAAAATAGCTTAGAGTTTGGGTGGTACCTCTGAAACTTTAACTAAATATTGATATGTTGGTTTTGGTGTTGATTTTTTTTTTTTAGGCACCAGTGTGTGTGAATGGAGATTCTGTTTCCCCAGAAGGTACCTTTTTCCCACCAAATGCCATATGATTTCTCTGATTGTTTGCTTTAAAAATTGACATAAAAACTGTCTTGTTGAAAAAAGGTGGTTTTGTGCATATGAGAATGATAATAGTTATATCTTGTCAGACTGTAATGCCTGTTGCCTGTTAAACAAAACATGAATAAGTTAAATAGAACGTGAACAGAAATTCAGGGATGGTTGTGGGAGAAGATTACTTTTGAATATGAGTGAAAGTGTAGTCCACATTAAAAGATAAGACTGAATTTTTCTGTCACTGATCATGGAAGGCAAATGCATGGCATTTACCCTTTTTAAAAGAGAAAGGTTGCTTTGCCTTAGTTTTTGTCATTCCTCACAGTACCTTACCTAACTAATCAAGGTAACAGCTCCTTTTTCTAAAATTGACATGACCGTACTTACTTTTCAAGTGTAAGTTCTAAAGACAAAATTCTCTCTTTTCACTGTTATGACTGTTTTTCCTGTTAACAGAACATGTATTTTTCTTCAAAAAATAAGAATGCATCCTACATTTTCATTTTTGCTAACTACTTTGAAGAAGAGAGTTTTTTCTACTGGCAGGAACTATAGAGAAAACATACGTGATTTTTGAGATGGACGGAATTATGGAAACACTAAGAGAAATTTAGTCATGAGTCGAGTTCCAGATTGTTTGGAAAGTAACATCTGTGTAGTCCATGTCATGGGAAAGCAAGTTGCATTCCATTTGCCTTTATATGGCATGCCAATAAATAGCATTTATTTACTGAAGTATTACATCTCAGACCTCTGACAGACAACTGAACATAATCTGCCCGATCTTTGATGTTTTCCAGGGATGGTTACATCAGTGTTGTAAGTTGTTGCAGGGTTGTTTCAGCTGAACTGTTAAAGTGAACAGATGATATTTTGAGGCCATGCTTTGCACAGGCTGGGGATAGAGCTCACCCAGAAGTGCTGTTACGGGAGGGGAGATAACTGAAAGGGCAGAATGTTGCTTTTTCAAGTGTTTGTGTATGGCTAGGTGTGTACAACTAGTGTCATTCTTGATGTGTATTTTTTTTTGTTCTAGTTGATTCCTGGCACTTCTTTCCCAAGTGATCATCAAAGTGTTCTGAAGCTGCATCATCAAATCTTGAAGTCGTCCCTGTTTTGAAGACAGGCGAAAGCATTAATTGTTGGGTTCCTGTTGAAACAACTTTTCAGCTTGTGTAAACTTTCTCTCGTGTAAATAAACACTGCCATTATAAAATGAATGTTTCCTTTCTCTGTCTGTCTTTGTGCAGGGTGGAGCAGAGGGAAGAGGAGGGTTGATTTGCTTGTTGTTTCTGCATCTCAGAACTCCAGAATTGTTCTTACCCACTCATGAAGTGCAGTATCAGATGAGATGGGAGATAAGGTGTCTTCAACCTTGTTCTCCAGATTTTGGAATAATCCAACCATCAGGTGCATGGAAAACTGAGTTAATTTACACCTTAGGGCTTGTCTGGCCACCCTGACTATAATCCATTTCAAGTAGACAATAATCTTTATGTAATGGGCTTAGCAGTTTACCAGGTTCTTTAACATGCGAGCATGTGCTGTTTCCCGAGTTGTATTCACTTGTGTGCCCAGTTGTCTCTGCATGCTTCATAGAGTTATGAGCAGAGCATACTTGCTTTAACAAATACAACTTTACTCCAAAGAGTAATTCAACTAGGAAGGGCTAATGCCATAACAATTGAAGTAAGGATGCACGTGTCCTTTCTGTACTATGTCCTGTTTTGATAACTTGTGTGTTTCATCACACAGGAAGGACTTTCCTTATGGAAAGCTTCCATTTTTAGAATTGTGTATGCCTGAAGACTTTTGATAGTTCCTCATTCAGTGAGACAAGATTAGTCAAAATGTATAGAACTGAGCTTTGTGCTTTATGGTAAAAATATCTGCCATTTTTTCTACTGCAGGATTATATCTGGCCTGTCTGTACCCACGGTGTTCATTAAAAACAAAAGCAAAAAAAGCCAGCTGTTAAGTAGAAAGAGAGGAAATGATTAATATAGACAGACAGCTTTATCCAGCTTGTTACTGAGACCAAAGGTGAGCATTGTCTGCTTTGTATGCTGACTGAAACAAAAGGTTAGTATTACTGACACATGATGGAAATGGAAGATAAAGAACTGAAAAAGTTAGGCTGTGGCTTGCTATAGCGGACTAACTTTTCCTTACAAAGAGTAAATTATTAGTAAGAAAGCTTTTGCCTTTGGGAATGTTTCTTTGATTTTAGGAGATTATTTTCCTGGTTTAGAGACTTTGCTCTATAATATTGTCTAGTGTATAAGCACCAGGCACTTCGGAGATCTCTGTTTGAGCCTCGGCACTTAGGAGTAGATTGAGTTCTCCTGTTTGCATAGAGTTTTGCATTGTTTTGTACACAAGAGTTTAGGTGTGGTATGAAAAATGCAACATAAACCTCAGATATTCAAGACTATTTTTTTTTTTTTTAGTCAAGAGTTATGTTACATCCAACATACATTTGCAGTATGGATTTCCCATACTTATTTTGTACTTTAGAATTCTAAGTAGGTGCATATAATGGTCTTTTTTTTTTTTTTTAAATAGAGTAAATGTTTCCCTAGTGTCTTGGGTTCATGTGCAGCCTCTCAGTATGAGATTAGCCTGGTTAGAGGTGAGCTCTTGTAGGGTGCAGACCAGCTGCTGTATTTGCCTATATGGTGGTACATCTAGGAGGCTTACTGTTTTGTAAAGTGCTTAGGGGCAGCTGGACAATAAAGGGCACTGTGTAAAATCAAATTATCTTCCCTATAACAGTGGTCACTGCTGTCCTGGTTTTTGATTATTTTGTTTCTGAGATAGAATAAAAAGCTTTAGGCATATGAAAAACAAGTCTTGATTGCAAACATACCCATGCTGTACTATCAAGAGTAGGTCAGAAGTTACTTTGTTTTTACTTCAAATAATTTTAGTAGTGTTTTTTAATTTATAACTGTATTGATGGCATGTGGTTAGGAATTCAGAAGGAGAAATAAGTTCGTAGATCAGATTAGACTTTGTGCAAGAAGGTAAGAAATAGTACTTGGGAAAGCTGAATATTGAAGTGATTGGAAATGCATAATACTATCCTAAATTTGAAAATGTTAAAATATTTCTTACATGTAGGGTGTATAGACAGATGACTGTCTTGCTGAAGACTACTTTCAACATGTGTTTGTGTACATTTTCTAAAGATTTTTCCGAAGTGGGTTAAAAAGATGTACTGTTATGTGTAGCCTTGCTGCTAAAATGCACTGAACGCTACTGACGTGTGGATTTCAGAAATGAAGCGTAATGAAATAGCTGTGGAGAGAATGTCTGCTAATAAGAGGATTAGGAGGATGGGATAGAGAAACTAGAATATATTTTTCAGATAGACTCATTATTCATAGAATCATTATGGTTGGAAGAGACCTCAAAGATCATCAAGTCCAACCGTAAGATCTCATCAGGAAAAACAAGTCAGTGCAATAAACACTTACTTTGGCTTTTTTTCGCAGGCTAGGTCTTCTCTTTGTCTGTATTTATATGCCTATATTGTTGTATTGAAAATTGGTTTCATTGTAGTGGGAAGCTTAGTGTAGCAGTGTCCACTTCTCGGTAGTTTTATGAAAAGAACCTTTTCATATCTGATAGTAATATCTCCAATATCTCCTGAAAAGATGTCTTGAAGAGAAATAAATACTCCCTCCCCAATAAATCCATCTTAGCTGTATTTTCTGTGTTGAATATATAATACACATATATGTATATATCTCTTTCAAGGATAGCTGTGCATCTTATTGTCTGTTTTAGAGAGAAAGGAGAGGTCATTCCCCCCCCCCATTGTGAGGGTGGAGGTTCTCTTTACTTACATAGATCATTAGCTGCTGTTCAAAACAGTACCTTTAACTGACATGGAGTCCACGCTTCAGTCCCCCCAGTCGAAAATGGGGTTTGAGTTTTACTTCTATGGAAATAATGTTCGTTATTCTTTAAAGTGTGAAAATAAAAGGATTGTGAAAACCCCCAAAAGAACAGAAGGTAATTCTGAAGTGTGTTTGGGGGAACTGTTCATAGATGTTATGCAAGGAGGGTGCCTTACCTTAACTTGCCTGTGGTTGTCACTTGTATTAATGCTCGAAGGCTACGGCATGAAGCAGTCCTAAACTGGCTGAAGTATTATTTCATGCTTGTCTTAGCTCTTATTGGGACCAAATCTTTTTAATGGGTTGTAGATCAATTTTAGTTCAGTTAAAAGGCAAAAACAAGTAGGGTGCAAATTTTTTTTTTTTTTCTGCCCTTGCTGTAAAGCTTGAGGTGATTTCTTACCAGGTTTGATAACCTGGGTTCCACCTCCTGAGGACAAGAGATCTGGGATTTAAAAAACAAAGAAATAAAAAGTTAGCTGGAAGAGAACAGAAAGAATGGAAGACAGATCTGGGACGTTCAGGCAAATAGAAGTAATGAATAGAACATTACATAGGAGTGACTGAAATGCTTTAAAACAGTTTTGCCTAAATATTGTAGCAATACGTAAATGCTGATTTCATGCGACTGGAGAGGTCAGTAGGATGCTTTTGCCAAGGAAGAGCACTTACCTACCACACCGAAGTTGGAATTGCATCCCCTAAGTGCCTGGAAATAGTACTTTAATCTTTGGTCTCCTGAGTGGGGGAAAACAGTGGAAAGCAGCAATTGTATTTATTGTTGAGTTGACTTTCTGGGAGTCTTTTGGGTTGTGCAGAGATGAGCTGGGTGCTCAACAATGTTGACTGATCCACAGGCAGTCTTTGGCTTCCCACAGCTTACTGTTCTGTGCAGCAGGATGCTGGATGTATGCAGTGCTCTCTTCCTGAAACTACAGGTCGGGGTCTAAGGGTAGACCAAGAAAAGCCAAGCTCAGTGCAGTAGATTGTCACTTTGTGATTATTTGTCGGCTTTGGCTAATTAATTCACTGCTAATTCTTGTGGTAGAACCTTTTAAGTGTTCTGGAGCTATGGGCAGAGTTCAGATGGTGCTGCATGTTTTCTGTCATTCTTGATCTGGTAAGTTATGACTGAATCTTACCAGTGATTCAGTATGCTAAGTCAAAAGTAAGATTTTTTGTTGTTGATTTGTTCTACTGTAAGGGTCAAAAAAAGATTTCCTTTTCTAAGGGAAAATGCAGAAACCAAAAAGAATTGCACTATTCTGTGCATATAGAGTATGTCAGAGTGCCAGAACACTGCTGCCCATTAGCTTTTCCCCTTAGAACATCCTCATAAGGTTTCTAGATTCTTCACAGATGTCATCAAGTTTAATATTAAACTTTTTTGTTTATTATCTTTGGAAGGATAATACTTGCATTACCGAGGTATTACATCATATATGCAAATTTATATGTTCAGTTGCACTCCTTGTGGTTTGCTTCTGTATATGTAGTAATGCTTGCCTGGAAATTAAGGGGTTTTTTTCAGACCTGAAGATCTGGTTTTGTGTGCAGTGTTCAGTGCTAATAGATCACTGGATGGTCCTGTAAGCTTCTCTTTTGGCATGAAGAGAGTAAGTGAGTAAGTGTGGCCACTGAAATGGCTGCACTTTGTAGCTGTTATTAGCTTTATGCCCATTTATTGGTGCATATATCAAGACAGGGATATTGGAATGTTATGAAACTGGTTTGTCTGCTCTGTATATCTGACTGCTGTCTGCTGCTATTATACCAACTACAGGTTTGGGGTTTTTCTTAAGCATTTTGTATTTCACATTTTAAATATGCTGAAGAGTAAACATCTAGCTGGTGTCAAAAGCCCTGGATTAGAATACAAAGAATTAACGTTAAATTCTGCTTTTCCATAGTTTAATGTGGGCAGTCCGTGTAATCTTTATGCTACAGGTAAAATGAGTAGAAAAGTTTCTTCTCTGAGTTGTCTGATTTCTACCAAACGGAGACCTGACACTTCCCCAACATTGAGAGGGGAACTCCTTCCAGTGTCTAGGAAAATGTAAGGTACATTCAGCTTTGTTTACAGTGCAAAGGTTAGCTCTACTGACAGGCAGGCTGAAGGATTTGACCGAAGACGCAGGCTTTGCTAGTCAGACTGATCTGCCTGAGGGTTGTCTGATGCCGTAATTATCTTACGAGTGAAAAGAGCATCGGTGGTGGTGAAAGTTTCTGGTGTCAATTGGCACCTTGGTCCTTGTGAGTTCTGCAGGAGACTAGACTCCATTCTTAAGCAGGTCTTTTAAGTCCCCTAATGGCCT